TTTGTAATCAAGGATGACTACAATGTGGTTTTATAAACTGAACACTCTCCTAATTCCAGGTATGATTTCAGGTGTGGCAGAGTATTGATTACCATCTTATGAAGCATCTTAAACAAACAAAACCTAAGTAAAACTGCTGTTAATTTCAACAGAAAGAACACCACCATGGCCTTGGAAATGTGCTTTGATTATATGTGTATTAAGGTGACTTAATTTTACATGATGCTTATCTGACATTAATCACAGTTTTTCTAGACTATTTTCTCACATAAAAGGATTATAGGTGCATCAGGATGCACCACTGATCCTGGTCTGCAAGCCACACACATGCCTTCTCTCAAAGATTAATGGAAATTGTGTGTGTGTTTAAGAATAATTTCATTCATGTCTTAGGGGGAGAATGCTACAGCCAGATATTTTCACTTTTTAATAAAGACCTCTTCCCAGATGTTCTGATTTGTTTCAGTGCTAATCTCAGGATCACTAAACTCACTTTTTCCCCATGACAATAATCCATGACGAATCATGTAATCTTGTCTATTCTTCCTTAGTTGTACATTTCAAAATATCTGTTTTGAGTACTCCTTGAAACTAGGGAAAACATTTTAAACTTTATTAACCCTTAACTTTTATTAAGTCCAAAGCGGAGACTAGAAACTATGCTGGTAGCCATTATGTTCCCACAATTATTTTGTTTTGTGTTTAGATGATCCTATTCCCCCGTGTGTACCATCCTTTTCATTTTCATGTCTGGACCATGGACTAAATACACATACTCCTTAAATCACTATGGGATTCCATTTGATTAAGTTCATATTAAGTTGAGAATATTTCAAGTCAAAGATGCATTTGCTGGGCCTAACCTACTGAACTCCATAATTTAACCACATGGCTTACTGTAGTACTGGTGGTTGTTTCATCTTGTGATTGTGTGGCCAACTAGGAGCCATGGCTCACTGCCACTGCCCAGCATCACAAGAGAGAGCATTGTATTACATATTTCTAGACTAGGGAAAGGCCAAGATTCAAATTTTTTTGTTTTTGTTTTGTTTTTGTAGCTTTGTAAAACTGAATAATCAGGTTGAACCACTATGAGCTGTGGACCGCTTGTATTTCAACACTTTTCTGCTTACCCAACATGACGGCATCACACCTACACTTTCACCCTAGCCTTTCCCAAAATTCCAGCTTCTTATACCAAGTCTATGCTTGAATTCTTCCATAGCTTTCCATGGCTGGCTGGGGAGCCTACACCCTTAAAGTGAGTATGAGATTCAGAATTCTTCTGTTTGCTTAGAATCACTCATTTCATTTTTATTCTCTTCCCCTCTGCTATATGAATCTCTAGATTCCAGTCAAAGTGAGATGTTAACAATTGTATGGTACAACTGTTCCTAATATGTAAGGGTTGGTTGCTGAGGAAGAGGGGTAGAAAGATGCTAAGAGTTAGAAGAACAGGAAGTTTGCTGTGACACTGTGTCTCCTAGAAATGTCAGAGTAGCAACACGCATGAAGCCTCACCAACATGGCTGGCTGACCAGGACCTGAGCAAGAATGACATCAGGACACATGCTAAAGAAGGGGGAAAGACCAAGAGGCCTCAACCCTAAACAAAGTACCACAGTAGCTAGGGAATGCTGGGAGTGGGAGAAATTGTCTTCCTCGGGGAAGAGTATACCAACTGCTATCAAATATCAAATGGTCAGCCCTGAAAACATATACTCAAGTGACACTATACTGATCTAGCAGGTTGTATTTACACACACACACACACACACACACACACACGTGCACGTAACAATAATGAAAGAAAAAGCAGCTATGATTCTGAGAAAGAGCCCAGGGTTCTAATGGGAGTGGCGGGGGGGGGGGTTGATGATGTAATTATAATTTCAACAATGTAAAAAGTAGAAGTGTCTAGGGGAACAAAGCAGACAAATGGGAATCAGGGGTGCAAACAATGGAAGGAAAATGGTAGGGCAGTTTGGAAGAGAATATGCTCTCAAAATTCAAAATATATTAAATGTCTGTATGAAGGTGCTTTTTGAGAAGTTTTGTGTGAGATAATCTTGTCTCTCTCCTTTGCATCCTTCTGCACCCCCTAAGCTATTGCATGCAGACCATGCTCTTCCACGCATGCCCTTCATGACCCTCTCCAGGAACACATTTGTAATGAATCTTCTATCCACCTGTTGCTCTTTCCATAGCAGCATCATCCTGACCGTTAATGTCAATCACCATTTTAAAAACATTTTTATTCTGCAATATGGGATACTATGTACTTTGACTTCTTATTATAGCATATATTTTGCCTATTTATAAAATGACAAGGTTTACATTAGAACGCCATAAAACTGCATGTCAGTTAAAAAAAAAAAAAAAAAGAAAAGAAGGAAGTGAGAACATAAAACCACATGTGAGAAAAAGTAAATAAAATGTGCTAATAAAATAAAAGTATCTAGCTACATGTGTCCTGGCAGGCAAGGCAAAACTAAAGCCTTGTTTTGGTTGTGTGTGTGTAAGATTAAGATATTAATAATATGTGCATCTTTTTTTCTCATTAGCAGTAATATTCTTATCTGTTGGATTTATTTTGCGAATTAAATCCCAGCCTAACACCCCAATGTAACAAGTTGATTGGTAACTAGTAAGATATTTACTTTCAAATTCTAATCATATATAATGAGCACATAAATGAACATAATAAAATAAAAAAAAAAAACCCTAGAAATGTTAGAGGAAAAATTGTGGATCTGAGTATTAAGCACTTTGGTAGAAGGAATTTAAGAAAACATTCAGATCACAGTATTTTGGGGTAAGTGTGTATATGCAGAAGAAAAAATCATATGTGGAATAGCAAACCTCTACAAGAAAATTATTTTATTGGCCATCTGTACTTAAAGTGATATTCGTGTCACCAGTGGACTGGGAAATTGTGCTCTGTGTTACTGAAGCCCAAGTGTGGATCACGCAGGCTTTGGAGGCTTGCCACGCCTCCATACTCGATGTGTAGGCCTGAAAGGATAGACAATGCACAATGCTGTTCTTCGAACTTTAAACTTGGGCCTCATTTCTTCTCTACATAGAGGGTTTGTTTAATGTGTTTTTCATCTTGATACGAAGGTGTTTGTGAAGGGCAGGGAACACTCTTGCCAGACACAGTCCAGCAGAGATTTCTATGATGATGGAAAACTTCTAGGTATTAGTGTGGGGGGAGGGGAGGAGCAGGATGTGCAGGAGCAGCCTGGATCTTGCTTTGCAGAGGGAGCATTTTCTGAAGAGGTCCTCCAGGCAGGGCTCCTACCTAAGCCCTGTCAAATTCTTTTCTCAAGGTGGGTTTTCTTGTCTACTTCTAGTTCTGTGAGCAAATAGGAGGACACTGCTGTAGCATTTCTAATTTCTCTAATTTGAGGATCCCCACACTCGCCCTTGAAATGATATTTTGTAAACTGCTATTTCCTCCAAGCCTGCCATGCCTTTTTTTCCATCTGTGTTGAAGTCTCTTTTTTTTCCCAGTGGGGCCTTCTTTCTCCACTTAGTCATGCAGTGTGTAGAGACCCACATCCACACTGCTGGCCTTTCTGACTCATCCCAGGAGGCCAGCCTGCTCCAGGGAATCCTGCTCCCAGCACAGGGCAAAAACGGGGAGCTTCCAAGTGCAAAGAGCACATCTGAGATCCTGGAATCTGCTTTTATCCTTGACCAAAGCAGCCAGCACAAGAAGGGTGAGAAGCAAAATGTCTTTTCCCCTTTAGGGAAATGTGGCTAATAAACAGATATTAGCAATCTTAACCTCCAATTTATGGGATGCCTTCATTGCTAGTTTTAAAGATTCCACACTCCGGCCAGTGGAAAACAGTCCAGTTTTCCTTTTCTCTCTACCAGCAAACCAAAAGAGTAAATTGTGAGAGGTACACTTTCCCTTCAGCTGTAGATTAGACCATTTCCCTTTTTAAAATATATTATTCATGAAGGTGAAACCGCACTGGAGCTCCTCCCATCCATAGATGGGCTGTGGGTGGAAACTCCATGAGCTCCTCAGTGGTGCAAGCATCAGGGGCTGGGCAGGATAGCGGCTTCCCGCTGGAACCCCGAAGCCAGGATTTTCCTTGGCCCTCCAGGCCACTCAGAGGAAATCCTCTGCCAAGGACAGCTCAAGTCCAGTATTTCTCAACCCACATGGACTCAGACAATAAATTCCTTGAGCTAGAATTGCTAAAAGGGTCAAAGTTGAATAACAAAATGATAATGAAAATCAGACCATTGTGTCAAGTCTATATTCAGCCAATATCCCAGGAAAGTAATGTATTTTAAATCCCAGCAAGTATAACCTGAAAGTGTAAAATTGAACTCCAACCTGAATGTTCTGTTAGCCCATGGCAGGCTGACCTTGGCTGTCACCACAGATGCATCTTCCCACATCTAACTAGAGGCATCCAGAAGTCAAGAGGTGGACCTTATTTTCAGTTTGGTAAATCGGCTTAGCCTTGCACATGTACTGTGTTTTTATAGTTAAAACACTATTCACATATGTGTGTAATTGCATATATGCATAAAATATATCTGCCTATGTTATTAGTTTTAAGCATTTCCGCTCATATACTATTTTTAAGCTAATCACTTTAGATTGTTTTAGCTGAAGGCATATGCTCAATCTGAATTCTGACCTTCACCTGTGGTACAGTAACACACAATTAATTACCTGTCACTGGACTTTTAACCTGGCAATCGATGGACCACAGTCATCCTCCTTTCCCGAGTAATGTGGGGGCCCACCTGTGGCTGAGGCTCTATGAACTCCCACAAGGCTCACTTTAGCCAAATTCCTGTTCAACTAGCCAGTAGGAGGAGGAAGGCAGATGTGACATTTCTGACAAGGGACGCAAGGGTTTATATACAGCCAAGTCTAGGAAACAGTGCCTATGTGACAAGGTTATGAAAAGATACCCAGTTGCTTGAGAGAGAAGGGTTGTGGAACCCAGACAGTCACCAAGGCTTACCTTGACCACGTCATCGTTGAGATGCTTGGGGTCCCGGTTGACCAGGTCAATCTCCTTGGTATGTGCGTCATACACTTGCTTCTCATTTACCTCGTCTGCCATGGCCTTGTTGTTGGGCTTGTAGATGTTGCCCTGTTCCCGGATGGGAACAGTGTAGAGATGTCCCTGTGAAGGCAACCAGCCAAGCCAGGGGAGGGCGGCAACCGCGGTGGGAAGAAAAGTTCAGAAAGAGAAACAAGCGTCAGAAGTCAGCCTGCTGTCCCGGGAGCCCCGAGCTCCAAGTCTCGCTAACTTCAACCCCGAAGGCTTTGCGCACAGAAAACTCCAGTGCCGCAAGCTTTTTAAGAGGACGGAGGGAAGGACACCACACCCCTCGGTACCAGGCAGGGAGCGCCTGCCTCCCGCGCCCGCCGCCAGGGGTCAGGGCGAAGCTCCATGCTCGCCCTCCTGCTCCTGCTCCTTGCCTCTCCAGCTCCTGGCCGCTCCCCAGCCCAGGGGGTTCGCGTTCGCCTGCACTGTACCCTTTTTCTCCCCTAAGCCACTCGCGTCCTGCCACCTGCTCCATGATCCCGCCCTGACTCTGTTAATCGTGCCCCTATCCTTTCCACCATTATCTTTAAGATCCCACTGGACCATACTGACAGATTCTGGTCCCATCTTCTCTGTCCCTTCCTGCCTCTTCCTCCCCACCTGCCGCGTCCCCTACCCTCTCCCTAGCCCCCTTTGCTTTCCTTAGGCCGTGGGGGTGGATTAGGTGAGTGAATATCTAGTGTACTTTCATCTCTGAGAAGAGGCATGTGCCAGACCCCTCAAAATGTTCTAGAAGCACATCTCACCTGAAGGACTCCCGGACCCACCCTGAACGGTAGTCACTAGTCACGCTGGGGAACTGAGGTCTCCACCTTTAGGCTGAGTACCAAGAAGTAGTTGCCAACGGTGGTGGTACTTGTTGAGGAAGGAGGGTCCCCCACCTCGGAACTCCCCTGGCCGCCGCCCAGGGGAAGAGATTATTGAAGTGCTCTAGAACTTTGCTCAAAGTGCAACAGGAGCGCCACCGCCCAGGCCAGCCACTTTAGGCTCCTGATGGGGACTGTCACTCTTAGAACTATGGGCAAATGATGCTGCCATCCCAACACACACACACACACACACACACACACACACACACACACACACACACACACAGCGTCAACTCTCAGCCTCCCAGTAGGCAGGGGCTTGTGTGTGTGTGTGTGTGGGGATCTTGAAAGGCACTATCTGAAAAACTTGTCTAAGTCCGGCAGACTACTAACGCGGGACTCGGATCCCCGATCCTCCTTTGCCCGGTGGGCTCCATTGCTCTCCTCTCTAAAAAGAAGCCCTGAAACAAACATCCCTGGCTTCACCTCCCCACTCAGGTCCATTCCTCAGCGGTGCCAGCACGAAGGGAGTGCTGTGAAGGTGGAGAGAGGGCTGGGGCTAGGAAAGCAGCCCAAGCATTTGGAGTGGGAGATAGCAAAAGCAGGCACTTTGGAGCCGGCGCGCCCTCACCCAAGCCTACCTCGGAGTCTACGTATTTGCCCCCAGACATGCTGGCGCGTGGCTGGCTGCAGGCTCTGAGGAGGTTTCCCTGGGCTGTGATTTAAGAGAACTGAGGAAGGAAGATCTTGTATTGTATGGGGGGGGGGGAGGCGCCTGGCAGGGGGGGGGCGGTGGCTGGGAGGGAGCCTCTTGGCTGTCTGCCAGTGGTTTGTTCTGCTCTCAGTTGGCTGGGACGTGCTTTGCGCTGGGTCTAGGCATATCCCCAAGGTTCTGGCAACAGAGGGCGGGGAGTGCCCGCCCGTGGGGAGCTGAGAGCCTGTGAGAAAGCCTTCATCAGCGCTAGGCTGTTTGGGCAGATAGATATTTTAGACCCGGGGCAACGTTTTCCCAGCTATAAACCAACAGCGAGGCATCCCTGGGAGAGTGAATGTTTTCCCAGTGCATCATCTCAGCAGGGGTGGAGGGAGCTTAAGAGTCCGTAGAGATGCCCAGTATGGGCATCCGGCAGAGCGGCAGAACGAATTCTGCCCTGTCCTAAACTGCTTCCCTGCTTAGCCCACATTCCATTACCTCCCAGGACTGGTCTGTCTCCGACTAGGATGAAGAGGCACTTTACATATAAACACAAGGAAGGAATCTGTGTGGGTGCCTGTAATGTCATTATCAATCTCTACAAAAAGGAAAATGAAATTTCTGCCAACAGGTCATGCCGTAATCATAAGCACTTTGAATATTTTCAACTGTAGAAAATTTTAGTTAGAGGTTCAAGTTTGTTACCAGAGAGGATTTTTCTTGCTGACTTGAGAGCAAACCCGGGCATTGTGAGTTCTGCATGGAGGTAAACACTCTACCACTAAACTATATCCTCAGTCCTGGAGGGCCCTTGCCCAAAAAGATATGCTTAACTGTGAGAGGAGATGGGTTTTGACAAACTGACCAGACACTTTTTTTTTTTTAAAGTCAACGACTGAAAGATCAGCTTCAAAATCTGGCCAACCTCCTTTAATTTTATTGTAAAGAGAAAAAAAAGTTGCTTTTTGCTAAAGAACTGAGTAACTAACTCGAGGCAGCAGCTAAGAAATTCACCCCCTACAAATTGAGAAGGTTGTTTTTACTTTTATCTATATGCAAATACTTCCATAGCACACTGGAAAGGACAGAGGACAAATTTTAAAAATGGTGACCAGGAAGCCTGAATGTGGGATCAGGGAGAAGATGAAGAGGAAACACCCGGGTCTGAGAGTAGAGAATGGTACCCTGAAAGAGCTGGTCATCTGACTGGTAAGACATGGAAAGAGCAACTGCATTAGCAGACTAGAGACCTGCTGATGGGGACAAAAGGCAATCCATTTTGAATTCATTATTTTGACTAGCATGTGATAACCATACTGCTAATGATGTGATATTTCAATGTTGCATATAATATACTGATCAAATAAGGGTGATTAGTCGTACATTGCAAAAATAAAAAAATCGATTTTAACTAGGGATGGAAGGGGAAAGGTCTGTGTGATAAACGTGACCTATGCTGGCTATTATTCACCACGAGATTAAAGATCTCCCAAAAGGCAAATTTTCTTGGTTTTATTTCTGCTAAATTACCTTTTCTAAAGTCTTTAATCAACCTATATGCCAAAGCACATGATAGACCACCAGAGAAAGGATGCTTTTTCATTCCACATATCCTGCATGAGTCACTTCGGATGCTCTCTTAGAATACCCTTTCTTTATTAGGTACATTTTCTTTCATTGATACTTACTGCAAGGGTATCCAGGTTCTGTTCTAGGGAAAATGTGGTAACTGGCTCCCATCTAGTGTTACTCAGTTTTCAACTGCTGATGAGTAATTCTGACCTTGAAGAAGTCAACAGAAACAGGGAGAGCTTGTCTTGCATTCCAGACAGGAAGGGAACTTCAGGAGAGGTCCTCCTGAGAATGCTTAAGTAGTCCTCAGCTGAGGGAAAGCCACCTCACCTGGGGAACCCATATCCAAGTCAAATCAGCAGTGGCTGTTGGCATCATAATGATCAGCGAAGCGTGCTCAATGCCAAGATGAATTCCTAATGAGTGGAAAACCCACAAACTGTTTAAGTAACCTGCCCCAACAAGAAGCAGGCACCAAAGACAAGCAGCTCTTATGCTGGTTGTTACAACTGGCTGGGAGCAACAACTCCAGTCCAGTGAGAAGTAAAGATGCAGGACTCACTAATTTAGATACACGATTTCAGTGAGTAGACGACGTAAACAATTCTTTCCTTTGATAGCCACACAGATAACTTTAGGCTTAAAGGCAAGTTAATAACTTTCTCTAAATCACTTACTGGAAACGAGAGGAAAATGCAGTTTATTTACTTTATTTTCACATTAGAAACAGCATTAAAGGTCAGCTTGCAGGTTATATGTTAGGAACTAAATAAGACATTGATCATCTAATTCCCACTACTTTAGAGATGAAGAAACTGAAGTTTCCACACACTTAAAGTCCTTCTGAGGGAATTTTGTTGGATGATAAATCATCTGTAAGTTGACGAATAACTGAGTCTGCTATGCTCTTGGACACTAAATGGCAAATTGTCTGCTTTTTGTGTTCTCCCCTTTCCTCCAATGTCATTCTCCTGCCATGAGATCCTTTCCCTCTTCTCATCACACTGAGGCTTTTTCCTCTCCTCATCCAGTCTTATCTGATTTCTTCTCTGTGCTTAGTAGCCTAAGGTCTGACCACACACAGTCACATCAGTGTCTCAAGGAACAGAATCTGGAGCAATGGCTCAGGTGAAGAGGGTTATGGGAACTTGCTGTTCTTGCTGAGGATCTGGCTTGAGTTCCCAGAGGGTAAGTCACACTGTCTGTAACTCCAGGTCTAGAGGATCCTTTGCCCACTTCTGGCTTTGATAGACACTGACACACACATTGTGTTCATACATGCATGCAGGCAAAACTCTCATACAGATAAAAGAAAACAAATACATCTTCAAACAGGATGCAAAATCTTTCTAACATTTCCCAACATGCAGATGCCTAGATTACCGAAGTGTGTCTGTTAATTAGAGAAGAGGTTTTGGCTTAGGTTGTAAATGGCTGTGTGTGTGTGTGTGTGTGTGTGTGTGTGTGTGTGTGTGTGTGTGTGTCAGTATGACAAAATCACTCACCAGTCATTCCAGACTCCAGCTGTGACCCTGGGGGCTTTTCTCAGGGCACTGCTAATTCGCTGATGGCCCTCTGGATAAAGGGTATGTTTCAGGGGAATTACTAGCTACATGTAGGTATATAAACCATTTCAGCAGTTTCTCTGTCTAGCTGAGTAGTTACCAGTTTATCATTATTACCTCCTCACATACCTCCTCCCTCTTGTCTGCCAGATACCATGGAGGCCTTCTTTCTGCATTTTCTGTTTTTACTTGGAAAGTAACAGCATTCTGAATGAACATTTGCTATGTTGCTAACTCCTTTCCTATCCCCATCTGACTTGCAGCCTAGCTGGGGCTTCTTTGGTTTAATCATCATCATCATCCAACATTAAACTCCCTGTATCAAAGGGTGCTGGCCTTGAACTCCTGATCTCTCTGCTTCTACCTAATATTGGAATTTTTATTATTTATTTATTTATTTTATTTTTTGAAACAGGGTTTCTCTGTGGCTTTGGAGGCTGTTCTGGAACTAGCCCTTGTAGACCAGGCTGGTCAAGAACTCACAGAATCCGTATACACATGCCATTCCTAGCTTTTCTTCCAGTATTTTAAAGGTGTTTTTTTTTCTATTTAATTTATATTAAAAAAAAATCAAGTAAGCCATTTCTATGGTTTTTTTTTTTCTGATCAAGAATCCTGAAGAGTATTATTTTGATCTTGTTTTCTAATTAGACTTGCTCATTTATTTTTAATTATTTTTTACTTTAACTAATATTTTATTATTTTTATTACAATGACATACCATGTTTGGTTTATAGCCCTGGGAGGCCTGTCCTTTTCTGAATGGAAAGGGGGAGTGGATCTGGGGAAGGGATGTAGGGGGGTGGTTGGGACGAAAGGAGGGAGGAGAAACTGTAGTTGGGATGCAGTATACGAGAGAAGAATAAATGTTTTAAAAAGGCAAAAAGGAAAACATAGTTGATGCATACTCATCAGGGGTACTGGGAACTTTCCATGAGATGGACCCTGTTAAAGAATTGGTGCATCCAAGAAAACCCACAGAACCAACAACCTGGGCTCACAGGAGCTCACAGAGTCTGAACCAACAACCAGTGAACCTACATGGGACTGACCTAAGCCCTGTGCATGTATGAGACAGTTTCGCCAGTTGGTCCTCTTGTGGGACTCCTAACAGTGGGAATTGAGAATGTCTCCGATTTTGGCTGGCTCTTGGGGCTCTATCCCTCATACTGTGTTGCCTTGCCCAGCCTTACTACAAGGAGAAGTACTTAGTCTTACTGCAACTTGATAAACCATGTTTGGTTGATATCTGCGGGAAGCCTGCCCCTTTCTTAACAGAAACACGTGGGAGGATGGATGGGGGAGGGGTCAGAGGAGAGGTAGGGGGTGGGAGGGAAAGGGAGGAGATGAAGGAAGAGAAACTGCAGTTGGGATGTACAATAAATTAACCAACTTAAAAAAAAAAAAGAAGAAGTATTGGTGAGTCTACCTAAATCATGGTGGGTGCTACTAACCTTGGGGACAGTTTAAACCACAAATTCAATAATGGAATGGGCACATTTTACTTCACAATATGTCTTAGTCAAGTCTTAGATGCTATGATCCCAGCAACTCTTATAAAAGAAGGCATTTTATCGGGGCTTAGAATTTTTTACAAGTTTAGTCCGTTATCATTATGGTAGGAAAACTGCACAAGAAGGCCCACAAGATGCTGGAGAAGTAGCTCAGCGTTCACATCTGTATCCACAGATAGCAGGGAAGAAAGAAGGAGAGAGACACTGGGCCTGTCTGAGCCATTTTCAACCCCAAAGCCCAGCCCCACTTCTGCCAACACCTCCTAATCCTTGTCATGTAGTGCCACTCCTAATGACCCAGCCTTCAAATCTGTGAGCTTACATGGCCAGTCTTATTCAAACCACCACACAATATTTTTGTTGTAAAATAATCCAACCATTCAAAGTGAACAAATAATATGGGCAGGCCCCATCAAGTTTG